ACCGGGCTATGGTTCCGGAAGGATTGCGAGGGTGCTGTTGACCCGGCTTATGGTTATCGAGGGAAACCAAGAAAAGTCACCCGCTTTGATGGTTCAAGCCCTGAGGGCTGTAAGGTCAGTCCTTCTCCACACTCAGGAGCTTCCCTCCTTCCGGCAGATTCCGAGCTATTCGCAGCGCGCTGTAGCCGCCTTGGTCAGCCATTTGACTTGAGACAAGTCAAGGAGACCGATCAATGTAATTTTCATGACAAACATCTTCTGCTACGTAGTATGTTCGATAACGCAGAAAGCCGGAACTGTAGTTCCACATTCAAGGGTGCTGCAAAGACCCTCTCACAAGGATAGAACTTTGGTTTCAAGACCAATACCACCCTGGAAACCCATATGTGCAATATGGCATACGAGCATTTTGTTCAATAAATACCGGTTGCATACAGCCAAATACGGCCACGGGCCAGAAAAAATGGCCATGCGGGAAAAACGATCCAAATACGGGTTCCGTCCGAAAAAATGGCCATACGGCTTTCCAGGCCAGGTTGCAGTAGGTGCCCATCTCCAAGCATCTCACTGGCTCTCCGGAGCCAGCCTGAAGCATTGCAGCATGACTATTGCCTTGCATGGGCCACTCCCTTGATCGACTTTTGCATGACATTCTCGTGTGAAGGCAATCACATGCTCAAGCAAGTCAACATTTTCTGGACATTGCACAATAAGTAGCTTCATTCAACACACACTCATTTGTTGAACATCCTCTTGTCACATGAGATTCACACTATATAGAGATAACTGGCAAAAAACACAGGCAGCGATTTGTGTCAAATGATACTCTTTCAAATAACATCTTGTTCAGACGTCAACTTAGCAATCAGCAACTTCAGGGGCCGCGCCTTTTTGTGGACCTTTTCTCTGACCAACTCCTCGATCTTGAGGCCCCGCACATTCCACTTCTCTGCGCCTCTCGGGGGGAAACCGGACACCGTTTTAAGGCCACCCATGAGACGATACCATGCTGCCTAGCGGCCCCCATGAATAAAGAGAAGCAAACTGGCTTGGAGCTTGGGTGCCCCTTTGAGAACTTGGATCCCCCCAAAGTGTAGAGCCCCAGGTAGAAGGTACGTAAATCCTGGGCTGCGGCATGATGCGCCTTGCGCCTGGAACGTCTTGTTCCAGAAAGCGTCCATTGCTGCGAGCACCTGATGATGGTGTAATCCCAATCTGGATAGATGCCAAACACAGTGTTGTGCGACATGCCCACTTCTGTGACACCACCGGAGAGCCCTCCCAGCCACGAATTCTTCCCTTCCACTAACACGTAACCCACCAAAGGGTCCCGTTTCGAGGAAATTCATCTTTCTAGGACCCCAGTCACGTTCCATGTTGGTGGATGGGGAGGGTACTGGGGGAGGTTCCCTGGCATGATGAAAGTGAAACATTTCACAAATCTGTACGTGATTCCCAAACCAACAAACGGTAAGGAAGCGCACAACACTGCTGAGGACCCTGTTCGATTGCTACGTGCTCTGGCTGGATCGAACGGAAGTGTATCTGACATCGCCGCACCAACTCAAGTCACAAAACAGCATTTCTTGGCGGGGAGAACAGGGGACGTCCTCGAAAGCGGCACAAATGATGTCAAATGTCAACTTGAGGAAAACATCCTGGCAATATGCTAATGCTGAACAAATCTGGCTCTGCTGTTTGCCCCAGTTGAGTCACAATCAAACCTGAAAACAAGGAATCTACCAAAAGCCCACTCACTTGCCCAAATGGCCTGGAAATCAAAGGCTAACTTTGTGGGGCTCACATCTAACATGAACCAAATTGGGACACCGACAGGTCGATCAAAAGGCAGCCGTGGTTGGGACTGTCCTTTACAGAGCTTCATCAATCCGGGATTTAATTGCGGCTTACCTGGATGCCAGCTGCATGGACATCTTGCAGCCTATGGGCAAAGAATATAGATGCTCTGCAACCTAGAGGTACCTCCAGGTGGTCTCAGTTTGGCAACCACACTGGTTCCGTTGGCGCCACCCCAGCACAAAAAGGACACCCTCTTTAAACTGTGCGTCTGCCTGTTGGCCCCACCCGCCACCCCAACACAAAGAAAAACAGGATGCCCTGAATGTGGGCTCAGATTTATGGCTGAAAGTGCCAACTGTGATCGCTGCGGCGAACCGAGCCTGAAAATGCAAAACCTGCCCGAAATACCGCTAACGTGACCGTTACCTTATTTACCACTGTCAAAATCCCCGGCAAGTGCTGGGTTAAAGGGATACGACCCCTAGTATCTCACTTTGACAACCCCCAACCGTCTCTAAATGGTAGCTTCCTCTTGGCTTCCCTTTTCTTCCATGAGGTCCCCTAAAGCAAGACACCCGAGTCTTGGCCGAGCTTCGCTGTCGGGATTGCCCGGCTCGGCGTTGCCGACCACGTGCTCCAGCAACAATCGCTCGAGGCCGTGCATTGCTTCGCTGCCCATTTTCTGGACAGTGCCCTTGGCCTGCACACCCGGAGAGGGGGCTCCTCATACTTCTCCTGTAATGTTAACCCGGATTAATAAAGCCCTGGTTGATTACTACGAGGGGTGTCCCCTTTTAGTGGGGATTCATCACTTTGGGAGGGAACACCCCCCCTATAGCGGGACGGGTTTAATAATCCTGGGTCAACATTAAACATCATCCCAACAAGAAACTCACTTCACATTCACCAAACAAATAATTTGTTGAAGCGTCAACAATATGAGTACCCTGCCAAACTGGCATCCGTTTTGAGTGGATGAAGGGTCCATCATGTCCATCACCCGCTGGTGCCAACTAGGGCGATGGGGGGAGAGCAGGGAATAGAGGAGAGCCCACAGCAGAGAAGGGTACCAGGAATAACAAATGGCACTGCAAGCAAACGGACGTTCCTGATCCTCCCACAGCCCTGACAATGGGTTCTCATAGTTTCATGGCAGCTAACAATGAGCAAAATGCTGAAGCTGTTGGAAACAGAGTGATTCGGAGAATTGCGCGCGCGCGCGTGTGTGTGTGTGTGTGTCCATGCGTACACAAAAACAGACTCACATGTAAACACACGCATATAGTACATGCATGTGTATGTGCATACATACATATATCATAAATGGTACATGTACAAACACACTTGAACTCCAGATGGAGAGTGCTAATCTTTCGAGTACAACTGATGAGTCTCGAGTACAACTGACAAGTCTCGAGTAGGATAAGTTTCGACTCGCGAAGCACTCGGTTTCCCTCTAGAGGCGAAAACGTTACCAGAAAGAACAAGAAGCACAAACAGCGCCGCAACCAAGGGGGCCAAAAGGACATTCAGCAACATCACTTTACACATGCAGGTACGCTGGGATGATCAGTCCCAGTATCACCACCGATGGCAAGTGTCTTCGTTGGCAGGAGACTTGCCATGGCGCTCCTGCCTAGAGCAAATCCAAGCTAATCTCCCCTGCTGCAACGGAAAAAGGTTTTGGTGGCAGGGTTTTCTGCCACTCCGCACACACACGCCCCTCTATGAGGGGCGAGGTTTCTCTTTTCCTGCAGGAAGATCACATGCTCCAACTCGACTCTCTATCGTTGACCAAAATATCCACCACGGCGAGGGGAGCGAGACACAGCCCTAAACCGCTCAGAAGACGGGAACGAGAGATCACCACGTTGAGCGTTGCGAGTGTCGCCATAGAGGACTGAAGCGATTTGCGAAGCAGCCTGGCGGTCACCATAAGAAAACGGAGTGGCGTAGGTGAACGTCTCCTCAACTGGAACGGCATCGGAGTTCCGAACTTGACCAAGAGATTGATCATGCGGATAATGAGTTGCGAAGGACTCCATCCGAGACAGAATGCGCTGGTATCCTTGATGTTGCCAGTCACGGATGTCCCATGCCTGGACAGGCTCATTGGGATCAGTCACCCGCTGCCATTCCCGAAAAGAATTTTCAGGTAGATCAGGTACGGCGTCACCGCGGTGCCATCGTTGAGGCTGTCCTGGAGTGTATATCCGCACCCACTCCTGTTCCTGCCAGACCGAATATTCGAGCCATGGGTGCTGCTTCGAATCATCGATGTCCATGTCGAAGTGAGAGGCAAGGATTGTCGCGGGCTCCGATCCAGCTAATAGAGGAACAGGCACCATGCACAACCATGTTCAAACAACAACCAAGCAAGATCATGCAAGTGTAGAGACCACCCTTATTTTGTACGCTGCGCCACTCATGCGAGTCTAGTCCTCAGTCAGCTCGAAGATGGGACTCGCCTTGTCCCTGCCGCTGTCGGAAGGATTCACGGGCCGGTAGGGCTCGGAGACCCCAATCGTCTCCGATGGTGTGTTTCCACGCGATGCACGTACTGGTTGATGAGGTTGGGAAGCTTGACGTGCGCGAGCTGTCAGTTGTTGAGAAATCCCCTCCTGGAGACGAGTCAGTTCTTCGGTAGAGAAATCAGCCGCATCCGAGGACCTGAGAATCGCGTCTAACAGCTCCGGTGACATACTCAATGCCGCAGACTGCGTGGCCACGCTGTGATGATCAGGAAAATACATGGAATCAAATTCATGACCAGCGTGAGGGGCAGCGACTCTCCGATAGCCCTCTGTGGCCCAGTCTCGTTTGTACCACGTGGTGACTTGGACCTGCCCACCGACTGAGTCCTGGTTGGGAGCATAGAACTCCCTCCATTCTCTAAAATGCGGAGGAGGTGGAGCATCATGTTCTTCATGTGGTGTCCATGGTCCCGGATGAAAGATCTTGACCCACTGGGCATCTGGTTGTTGAGGGTCCGGACACCATTCCAGCCACGCCATGACAACGCAACCACGGAAAGACAAATTGATAGGTGTACGGCTGCAGACAACAATGAGTGAAAGCGAAACAACTATCACAACGCAAAAGACCACTTTTGCAGCACTGCGCGGCTCCAGCATCGAAGACAATCTCCCGAATCGAATTGAACTGAACAGACTCCCCAGGAAGGCGAGGACGGGCATCAGCCATCATGTGAATTGGATGATGCCGAGGAGGAGGTCAATCCAGCATACATGAGGTCCGGTGCACCCGAAGCGAAAACTGGCCTCGCGATGCTGGGGCGTGGACGACCCAGACGTTGGTATCCCCTGGTGACCCAGTCCCTGTAATACCAAGTATAGAAGGTTGCATAGGATACCGGTTGCGAAACAGTGCCTGTGGTGGTGCCGCCCGTACTTTCCCTAGGCCAATACACTTCGAAGTGGTGGACCTTGCGCCATTCCCGATAGGTGGTTGAGTCATCCGGGGCCGGTCCCAGGGTGTTCGCGGCGACTGGATGCCACTGACCCGGTACATAGATCCGAATCCATTCCACACTCGTATTTGCTGGCCCATTGACGATGTCGTAGTCAAAATAGCGAGGTAGGACCCATCGTGCTGCACCATGCACTGTACTATTGAACATTTCAACCCGGCAAGCCGCTCAAAGTCATAAAGGAAAGCGGCGAACAAATAGAGACGGAATGTACACCACCAAGCAAGACAACCCAACGTGGACTCACATACAAAGCAAGCACAACCGCATCTTTATCCGACATGCTACTCAAGTGTCACTCCGAATCATTCCAAGGATCATGGAATGGTGGCGGCGACGGCTCCCGCCACGCCCCATCCGGTACCGATGAGCCCACCGAGGAATCGACGTCTGCATTCACGAGCATCGCGAATCCGATGGATTGTACAGGAGCTCCAAGTCGTTGATACCCTCGTGTTTGCCAGTCTCGGTACTCCCACACGTGGTAAGACACATAGGAACTGGGCGTGACTATGGGATCCGTTGTGGTGCCTCCGGTGCTGTCTTCAGACCAGTACACTTGGAAGTGATATGATCTGCGCCACTCCCGATACGTGGAAGCGTGGAGTGGGTCAGGAACTGGAGCATCATCGGGAACGGGTCTCCAAATGCCCGGAGAGTAAATTCGAATCCATTCCACTCCTCTATCGATCTGGTACTCGAAATACTGGGGGTTCATAGCGGCAAGACAGGCTCTCGCGCGACAGCTAAAACCAGTCGAAAGTCTGCGGCAAAGACACACATGCATTGCCAACCGCGCACATCCGCTGGAGAGTGAGGCAACTTTTCAAACTCAAGGTGAAACACAGCAACGAGGTCTGGAATGTCCGACTCCTAGGTTTCACTGTCGTTGATGTCGCGCACACCTGCAATGATAGTGTCCTGGTCGTCTACGAGCACAAGGGGAAAGACATTTCCGCCCATGGCGCAGGATGGCATGGCAGTAGTGTTTGCAAGTTGCCGATGGGGACTGCGATGGACGGCCAGCACGTTTGGAGGGGAACACTGTAAAGGGCCGTCGAGATCGCCGCGGCGCTGAAGCGGATGCTGTCCGAGATCGTTTGGACGAGCGCCCTGGACTGCGTGGTTCTTCATCACGGGAATGGTCAGTGCTGTAGATCGAGCGGCGTGTGCGCTGCGATTTCGAAGAGGTAGGGCAGGATTGTCCGCGAGGGGCTGAGATCGAGGGGCTGCGTACCGAGGGCATAAACTGTGGGTGTAGAATCACCGGTGGTGGTGGTGGTGGTGGAGGAGGAGGTGGAAGAAGCAATGGGAAACTTGGCGGGGGCGGAGGCGACGTAGTCTGCCGAATGGGTCTGTCGAGTAAAGCCCCGGGTCCATGAAATTGTAACCACGTCGGCTGTGCTCCATGGGTCCAGGTGATGTACGTCTGTACAACTTGTTCCGACATGATTTGAGCAACTCAGTCATGACTTCACTTCATGTCAACGGCATCACCCAAAACGGCAAGCAAAAGTAAGTCACGTGCAAGCAAGCAAATATCATGTGATCAACAACAAGAGCCGAACACGCCGCCACGGCCTACCATTTAGTCCTCCGATGGTCGCTGCTGCATTTGACGACCGCGTTCCTAGCCGCGAGCCTCAAGTTGTTGATAGACCTTCCATGCCTGCTTGACTTCCTCAATCGGCTTCTGAAGAAACCGAGCAATGGTCTTATAGGTGGGCCTGGAATCCTTGTCTTTCTTCCGTCGCACCATCTCATCCAGCTCACCCTGTGTCCATGCCGTGAAAGGTTCACGGTATGCATTGCGAAGTGCAATGGTGAATTCTTGTAGAAGTTCCCGAGGACCATGAACCACCGTAGGCGACGGCCGGAACGACGAAGCACCTGGATGCGGACGTACCGAGCCATCAGAATCCGAATCAGGTGTCGTAGGCGACGTCTGTCCTGGCTCTCGGCCACCGTGTGTGGCGAAGGGAGCAAGTGGACGAGGCGGTGGCAGTCGATCCAACATCGATTCGGGCCGAGTACCAGGATTGTGGTCACTAGCATCCCGATGTGCCGCTCGAGGCGGGGATAAGGCCGGTATGTACCAGGTAGATGACGTGTCCACAGGTCGAGCCCGAATTCGTGTGGGAGAACGGGATCTGTCAGACGAGGCGCGCTCCGTGATGATGCGGGGCCGCAACCCATGTCTGGAGTTTCTT